GCAGAGCGGAGGGCAGCAGGAGCTGCAGAGCGGAGGGCAGCAGGAGCTGCAGAGCGGAGGGCAGCAGGAGCTGCAGAGCGGAGGGCAGCAGGAGCTGCAGAGCGGAGGGCAACAGCAGCTGCCGAGCGGAGGGCAGCAGCAGCTGCAGAGCGGAGGGCAGCAGGAGCTGCCGAGCGGAGGGCAGCGGCAGCTGCCGAGTGGAGGGCAGCGGCAGCTGCAGAGCGGAGGGCAGCAGGAGCTGCAGAGCGAAGGGCAGCAGGAGCTGCAGAGCGGAGGGCAGCAGCAGCTGCAGAGCGGAGGGCAGCAGCAGCTGCAGAGCGGAGGGCAGCAGCAGCTGCCGAGCGGAGGGCAGCGGGAGCTGCAGAGCGGAGGGCAGCAGCAGCTGCAGAGCGGAGGGCAGCAAGAGCCGGTTTGGGTGTTGGATGTGGAGATGGCGGACGAGGCTTGCACCGATGAGCTGGAATCAAGCCCCATGGAGGGGGAGAATGCCAACCCTGATTCCCCGGACCAAGCGGAAAGGCCCCGAGCGCGGGGCCGGGGCCGGAGGCGACGGGCAACCAAACTGCAGCAGCTGCAGAGCGGAGGGCAGCAGCAGCTGCCGAGCGGAGAGCAGCAGCAGCTGCAGAGCGGAGGGCAGCAGCAGTTGCCGAGCGGAGGGCAGCTGCAGCTGCAGAGCGGAGGGCAGCAGCAGCTGCCGAGCGGAGGGCAGCAGCAGCTGCAGAGCGGAGGGCACCAGCTGCCGAGCGGAGGGCAGCAGCAGCTGCAGAGCGGAGGGCAGCAGCAGCTGCAGAGCGGAGGGCAGCAGGAGCTGCAGAGCGGAGGGCAGCAGCAGCTGCAGAGTGGAGGGCAGCAGCAGCTGCAGAGCGGAGGGCAGCAGCAGCTGCCGAGCGGAGGGCAGCGGGAGCTGCAGAGCGGAGGGCAGCAGCAGCTGCAGAGCGGAGGGCAGCAGCAGCTGCAGAGCGGAGGGCAGCAGCAGCTGCAGAGCGGAGGGCAGCAGCAGCTGCAGAGCGGAGGGCAGCAGCAGCTGCAGAGCGGAGGGCAGCAGGAGCTGCAGAGCGGAGGGCAACGGCAATTGCAGAGCGAAGGGCAGCAGCAGTTGCAGAGCGGAGGGCAGCAGCAGCTGCAGTGCGGAGGGATGGAGCTTGCAAGGCCGTTAGAGGGGGGCATGGAGACGGAGTCTAGCAGGAGGGTCTTGCCGGCGTGTTCGAGTGGAGAGGAGCACCCAGACCCTACATTGACACCCCCGCCCCGCATTCCGTGCGAAACCTGTTATCGCACGTTCACGGAGAGAGGAAAGGCCACACGCCATATGTCGGCCTGCAGGGCAGCGGACGCCCAGCGTCGTGCTCAGGCGCTTGGGTTGACCCGCGACGTCACAGATGACTCGGACGGCGAACCCCCGCCACCACGTGATATCAGTGAAGAGGTATGGGCCGCAGTTCCTACATGGGACTGGGAGTCGTTTTTTGGGATCGAATTGGTGCCAGGGAGAATCATGCGTCGTATCTCACAGCGCGCTAGATTGGGGGTGTTTGATGCACTGTCTTGTGTCCTGAAGCGGCTACAGTTAAAGGCAGCAGACGAGGCGGCGTCCTTGGTCTTTTTGGCCTTCCCTCGTCTTATCTTGGGGATGCCAACTGGGCAAGGCCAGGGGCATAGGGCGGCAATCAGGGAGCGGTTGGAGAAGTTTTGGGTCGGGGAGTGGCGGGAGCTGTTTGAGTTGGCGGTGGCGGTAATGCAACCTGCGGCGCGTCCTTTGTCCTTCACCCCCCCCGAGCATGATCCTGATGCGGTGCGCCTGGCTCGCTGCCGCACAAGGTGCAAAGTGGGAGAATGGAGTCGGGGTTTGACGTGTCTTACTGCCGGTAGCATCGCTCAGCCCTCTCAGCACATGGTGGACGCGCTGCGAGCGAAACACCCATCGAGCGAGACCGCCTTTCCGGAGTGGTTGCAGGAGGAGATAGTTGAGCCTTCCCTTATCCCGCAGCTCTCAGTGGAGGTACTTGGTCAGGCGATCCACTCTGCGGCTAGGGCGTCGGCACCAGGACCGTCGGGGTGGGTGACGGAGCACCTGCGCGACACTTTTCTCTCTGAGCCCGCATACCTGCCTCACCTGCTAGGAGTCTTCACCCAGTGGACCAAGGGAGAGGTAGCGGAGCGCGTGCGACCCTGGCTCACTGCGTCCAACCTTGTGGGCCTGTCGAAGCCGAATGGTGACGTTCGCCCGGTGGCTATAGGCGAGGTGCTCCCCCGCATACTATCTCGGGCCCTATGCATCGTGCTTCGGCCGAAGATGATGTCGCACTTTGCGCCGTGTAACCAGCTAGGAGTCGGATCCAGGTCGGGAGTGGAAGTCCTCACACATGCCTCTCGTTCTGCCATCTCTACTCACCCGTCATGGTGCGCGCTTCAAATTGATGTGGCGAATGCTTTCAACTCCTTCCATCGGCGGGAAATGTTTGAAGGACTTCGACAGTCGCCTTTTGCGGGTTTGATCCCATTCCTGCGTGTCTTCTACGGCACTCCTAGCGACCTCTACCTCCGTGCGGGCCCCTTCGTCGAAGCTTTGGCTTCAGAGCGAGGATCGAGGCAAGGGGACCCATTGGGGCCGTTTCTGTTCGCGTTCACACAGCAGCTGGTTATGGAGCCCACCAAACAAGAATTCGCCGACCTACTCTTTCGCAGCTACGCCGATGATACGTACATCTTGGGGCCTAGGGAGCGGGTGCTAGCAGCTTATGAGGTCTTGCGGGAACGACTGGGCGGGCTTGGTCTGGAGGTGCAGCCGCATAAGTGCAAGCTTTGGGAGCGAGGGGTGGACCAGGAGGGAGAGGAGAGGAACGAGACCGTCCCGCCCGGCATGCAGCAAACATGGACGGGGCTCACCGTAGTGGGGGTTCCTATTGGGGAGGAGGAGTGGGAGGTGGCCAGCTTGCGAGGCCGGCTGATGCAGCTGCATGCACCTGTCCCTTGGCTTCCTTTGCTCGACCACCCACAGATTGCGTCCCATCTGCTGGCGATCGCAGTGTCAGCGCGCCCGATTTACCTCACAAGGACGATGCCTCCACGGCCTGAGGTTGTGGAGGCTTTCCGCGACTGGGACACGAAGCTTGAGGATTGTTTTGAGCAGCTGTTTCCAGATAGCACCTGGGATCATGATTCGGCAAGGTCGCAGATGGCCCGTCTACAGCTGCACCTTCCAGCCAGACTTGGAGGGTTTGGCATTCGATCTGCAGCTGACCTTAGCCCTCTGTCGTACGCATGTGGTTGGTGCCAGGCAGTGAGCGATGTGGCTCGGATGGGGGTGGCAGGGGAGGAACGGATGTTTGAGGAGTTTTTCCGCACGCCCGAGGCTACGACCTTGCTGGATCCTTGGTTTGCGAGAGCAGTGGAGCTGCTGCCACAGTCGGTCAGGCAGGAGATGCCACCCCTAGCCTTATGCACCGCTGACCCCCCTGTGCTGCTTTTCCCCACACAACACCGTCGCCTAGCGGTTGAGAGTCTGCAGACTCTTCGGGGTATAGCCCACGACGACGCCACCATGGCCCGTTTGACATCCCTTCAGGGCCCGGGGGCAGGGGCGTGGGTCTCCGCCGTCCCTTCGCACGAAGAGGCTACCTTCACCGCAGCCGAGTGGAGCATCTGTGCGTCCATGCGCCTAGGCCTCCCCATACAGCAGCTGATAGTCGCCGGCAAGTGCGCGTGTGGGTTTGAGTTTGCTGATCCCTCTGACCCGCATCATGCCCTTCGCTGCAAGTACCAGTACGCACCTTCTCGTGTTCACGACGCGGTTAAGTTTGTGGTGGCGAAGATAGCTAAAGGGGCGGGTGGGGTCGTGACCATGGAAGACGCCACGTTGCTGCCAGGGAAGAGGGTGGATGTGGCGGTGCGGAGACTGAGGGAGGGGGAGGAGCATGCGCTGGAGGTTAGTGTGGTGGACCCTATCTCGTTGTCCGCGCAGCACCATGGACAGATTGGTCGCAAGGTGGGTTTTGCCGCTAGAGAGAGGGAAAAGCGGAAGGCGGCGGACTACAAATTGCTTCTGCAGCGACATAGGGGAGTGCAGTTTACACCTCTCATTGCTGAGACATGGGGTTGCCTGGGGGGGAGTTTTGGGCGGTGGCTTAAGAAACAGGGCGACGCGCAGATTGAGGTAGCGAAGACGAAAGGGGCGGCGAGAGCTACGGGGAAAGGTTTCTCGGCTTACTTGCTTGGATCACTTAAAGCGGCCATAGGTGCAGCGGGCTCAGGCGCGTGTGATCTTGTTGCGCGCGGCGTCGATGATGAGAGGCCCAGAGGCTGTTTCGGTGGAGCGGGAGGATTTTGAGGAGGAGATGGGATGGGATGCTCCGTGGGCGGATGCGCCCTATTTGGTGGACATGCGGGTTTAGAGGGTGGGTTTAGGTGAGGGGGGTGGGGGGTTTGGTTAGATGGGGCGTATTGTTGGGGTGTCTCGTTGGGGTGTCTCGTTGGGGTGTCTCGTTGGGGGTATCTCGTTGGGGTGTCTTTTGGGGTTCCTTATGTGCTGTTCTACTGGGGTGTTCTTGAGGCTGCGTTTTCCGTTTTTCTTTCATTTAAAACTGAAAAAGATGTTCCAGCAACAAGAGACCAACAGCATCCTAGCGAGTGCTGTCGAATTCATCGAAACCTGCTGCTTCAGTTCCCTCACTTGGTTAGTTACTTCACATTTCAGTTATTTCGTCATCGTCAAAGCAAGCACGTACTTGGTTGACTCTAGCAGCTGAAGCTACCTTGAGTGTATCAGAGCGAGCCAGTTGTTTGATATTTGTAGAGGGCTCGATCGTCCTGTTGGGCGCGCGAAGCTCGCGACGAGACTTAGAAGTAGGCTAGGAGAACTACGGTAGTTGCAACAGCTTCCTCAGTTGATCGATTTAGGTCCTTGACCATAAATATTGGCAACCGTGATAGTTTCTTCGTCGCAACGCGTCTAGAGAAAATCTTCAGCATCCAATCCTGATCGTCCACGTCAATCTCTGATCATGGTAAGGCGAATCTGCTGTCAATCAGGTTACCCTCACTCCTGGTTACCCTCTCTCCCAGTTACCCCCCCTCCTGGTTACCCTCTCTCCCAGTTACCCCCCCTCCTGGTTACCCTCTCTCCCAGTTACCCCCCCTCCTGGTTACCCTCTCTCCCAGTTACCCCCCCTCCTGGTTACCCTCTCTCGTTATTACCCTCCCTCCTGGTGTGAGCGGCGTACTTAATAGCCTTGCGTTCTTGGCAGAGTTCCCTAGAATTTCTCTGCGACGCCTATTCTTCCCGCGGTAAGGATTTTTTTTGGATTCCCGATTGCCACGGCGTATATACAAGTATTGCAAAGATATCCATGGGACGGTCAGCGCTGGGTCCTGAGGTGGTCCGTACTACAGATGACCCTAACAAGCTAGTCGTTACTTACGAGGCAAGCGGACCTAGTGAGTTATTCCCTTTCTTGTTGTGTGGGCAACATGGATTTGGGACTTAGTTTAGTATTGTAGCTGAAAACGATACGTGGTTTAGAGACAGATCCGTTGGAGTCATCTTTTTTTGAATTCTCAGAAGTTGCGTTTGCCCAATCATGCTGTTCATTCGTCGAAGCCCTGTCTATCACAACAAGACGATTTTTGAGACGTCTCAAAAATCACAATGAGACAAGTTTGCCGGAATAGTATTTGTGATACCTTTTTTTTGTGTTTTCCTGGTACTTTCCTGGTCAATTGCCTTGTCTATTTGCCTGATCGCTACTTTTTTTTAGTAGTCACAGTCCAATTTTTTATGTTTCCCTCCAGCTACTACCCTCGATCCATGTAATATTTCCTGCCATCTGGGGGCATGGGTCAGCCGCTGAGCCTGAATGAGATCATGGCCTTCTCCTTTCTGCCGTTCCCCCCTCATCCACAATTCCCCCACCCCCCCCCCCCTTCCCCTTCTTCCCCCCCCCCTTACCCCACTTCCCCATGGCAGTACTTCCCGCCGTTTGGGGGCATGGGTCAGCCCCTCGGCTCGTTTGAGCAGAGCTTTCACGTGTACCCCGTCTCCTTCATAGATAAGGTGCGGTGGGGTGCGGTGCAGTGCGATGCCATCTAGTGAGAAAAGGAAGTGTAAAGGTTCTTTGAGCAGATCCTCCACGTGTATCCCGTCTCCTTCATAGATGAGGTGCAGTGCAGTGTGGTGCAGTGCGGTGCATGTGAGTAATGAGGCGTCTTGAAGCCACTTGGAGCAGAACTTTCACGTGTATCCCAGCTGGTTCATTGATATGGGTTCTGTTGGGGGGTTGTGTGAGTCATATTTATCATGAGGGGCTTTAAGAGTCTGTTGGGGGGTGTTTGAGACTAATTTCGAGGCGCCTTAAAAGCCTGTATGGGGGTTGTGTGAGGTTTGTTGAACCAGCCAGCCTTGAGTCATGTGAGTGTTTTCCGTTTACTGCGTTACCGTCCTCCTGATTGAGGGAATTGCACAACACTGCCTGTTTTTTATTGGCTAGAAACGTCCTGTTGTTTGCCATCGTGCATGGCTGGCATAGGTATGCGCTTTCACGTTCAATTATGTGTATGCTGTACCTTGTATCTTCGGGTAAGAGTGTACGTTATAGCTGGGTCGTTCCAGCACTTATGTCTCCCTCCATCTCTTCTTTCTCTCCCCTCCTCCCCCAACATTCCCCCACCCTCCACTCCCACTCTCCCCTAATCGTTACTCCCTTTCCCTTCCCAATTGTCTTCCGATTGCTGTCAGGCTCACCTCGAGAACGGCGATAAAGGTGTGTTGGGAGGGGTGTGTGCGGGGAGGGAAGGGGTGTGTGGGGGGGGAAAGGGCATGTGTGGGGTAAAGGGCTGGTGTTGAGATAAGATGGTGTTTGTGTATGGGGGCTGGTGTTTGGGGGGGGGGGAGGTGGTTGTTGCCTCTATCACGTGTCACTGACACCCTCCCCTTTTTTCGCATATACACCCAACCCCACCCACCCCTCCCCCCACCCCTTCCCCCTCCTTTTCTTCCTCCCTGCCCCTTTTTTCTTTTTCTCAATGCCCAAAGCAACCTGCCTGGCATGGTGATGCTATGAATCGTCTTCCTAAACCCAGTAGTATCACTGCATGAGTAATCAAGCCACTTCACTCTTCGTACCCTGCCCAACATCCCCCTGCTATTCCCGTCCCGCTACCCCCCTCTCCCGCCGCCCCCCTTTTTTCCCCCCTTCTCCCTCTCCCCTTACTGCTATGAGTCGTCTTCCATAATTCCATGTCACCGATTAAGTGATAAGCCGCTTCACTCTTCTTCTGCATGCATCTTCAAGTACCCTGCCCAACATCCCCCTTCCTCTCCCTGCTCTCTTCCCTTCCTTCTCCCCCTCTCGCCCCCTGCTTCCCCACTTCAAATCGGCGCCATCCATCCCTCCCTACACCTGTGGTTCTCCCATCAGTCATCATGCCCCCCTCTGCTCTTGACAGACTCGGTAAGTCACCGTACCGGCTATAGGCCTGCCTTGTCTTCGAACAGGCTCGGTAAGCCCACCATACCCGTTGTAAGCATGCTCGGATTTTGCACCCAATCTGCACCGTTCCGCCATCCCTTCTTCCTCATCCCCTGCCCCTCGTCCATGCTTTTCGAAAGGGTGAACTTTGAGTCGTCTAAACATCGCCCTTCCTCACCCCGTTCATCTGAAGAGAAATTTAACCCATCGGCACCATTCCTCACCCCTTTGTCTCCCATCCCCCCAATTTCCTTCCCTCCACATAGACTACCCCATGCTGTTCGAGGTGCACAACGCAGCGGCCAATCGCACAACACACGCTCATGTTCCATCACAACCCATCTGTACCGCTCTCCATCCCCCCCCTTACTCCAGCATCACTCCACATAGACTACCCCATGCTGTTCGAGGTGCACAACGCAGCGGCCAATCGCACGTCGCACTGCGGCGTGTTGGAGTTCATTGCAGAAGAGGGATACGTGTACATGCCATATTGGGTAAGGGTTGCTATATTGGGTAAAACAAGGTACACATGCTGTAATAGGTCAAGCAGCACTGTGGTGTGTTGGAGTTCATTGCAGAGGAGGGATATGTGTACATGCCGTATTGGGTAAGGGTTGCTATTCATAGTAAGTCAACTTGTGATAGGTTTGCTAACACTGTGGTGTGTTGGAGTTTATTGCAGAAGAGGGATACGTGCACATGCCGTATTGGGTAAGGCTTCCTATATCGGATAAGGGTTTGCTATAATGGGTAAGGGTTGCCAGCTGTCACCCTCCTTCCTACCTCCTCCTTTTCTACCCTGCATCCATCCTACCTCGCGCATCCTTCCCCTCCCAGATGGTGCAGAACCTGCTGCGACTGGAGGGAGACATAGTTCCATATTAATTCACATACTGAAACTCTCCCTCCTACTCTCCTCCCTTACTACCCTGCATCCTGCCTCTTCAGATGATGCAGAATCTGCTGCTGCAGGAGGGGGACATAGTGCGGTTCCGGAACGCAACTCTCCCAAAGGGCACCTACGTGAAGCTGCAGCCTCACACCAAGGACTTTCTCGATATATCCAACCCCAAGGCCGTGTGAGTGTTCATTTTGGAGGGCACCTACGTGAAGCTGCAGCCTCACACCAAGGACTTTCTCGACATCTCCAACCCCAAGGCCGTGTGAGTGTTCATTTTGGAGGGCACCTACGTGAAGCTCCAGCCTCACACCAAGGACTTTCTCGACATCTCCAACCCCAAGGCCGTGTGAGTGTTCATTTTGGAGGGCACCTACGTGAAGCTGCAGCCTCACACCAAGGACTTCCTTGATATCTCCAACCCACGGCTGTGTGAGTGTGGAGGTGAGGGGTGTGAATGATTATAAGGGATATGATAAGCAGGGGGAAGGATTGCCCTACTCTCCCCAAGGGCAAGTACGTGGAGCTGCATGCAGCCACACACCAAGGACTTATCTCCAACCCCAAGGGGTGTGAGTAGTGGTTGCGGGTAGTCTGTGTGAGTGTGATTGTAAAGGATGTGCTTGTTGGATGGGCAGGAACAACCCACCCCTCCCTCCCTAAAGGCACCTACGTGAAGCTGCAGCCACACACCAAGGACTTTCTCGATATCTCCAACCCCAAGGCTGTGTGAGTAGCATTCTTGTAGGGGGTGTGACTGTAATGGTGTGATGTGCTTATTGGTGGGCGGGACAGTGTCGTCACTCTCCCCAAGGGCACATACGTGAAGCTGCAGCCATACACCAAGGACTTTCTCGATATCTCCTACCCCAAGGCTGTGTGAGTAGCATTCTTGTAGGGGGTGTGACTGTAATGGTGTGTGATGTGCTTATTGGTGGGCGGGACAGTGTCGTCACTCTCCCCAAGGGCACCTACGTGAAGCTGCAGCCACACACCAAGGACTTTCTCGATATCTCCTACCCCAAGGCCGTGTGAGTAGTTGTTGGGGGAAGGGACGGTTGTGTGAGTGTATCTGTGATTGTAAGGGATGTGCTTCTTGGGGGGAAAGTACCTCCACTCCTCCCTCCCCAAAGGCACCTACGTGAAGCTGCATGCAGCCACACACCAAGGACTTTCTAGACATCTCCAAACCCAAGGTTGTGCGAGTAGAGTCCGGTGGGGAGGGCTGTGTGAGTGTGACTGTAAGAGATTTGCTTGTTGATGGAGGGCCAGGCCAGAGGCGTCCCACCCCATTCTCCCCATCTTTGCCTCATCCCATGTGCCAACCCCACACTTGGGTATTTTCCAAACCAACCGCATGACTGGGATGGTCACTGAGTTCGCATGTGCTTTTTGGACATAAGTTTCCAATAGCTCATGTGTTTGAAACCGACATATCCAAACACATGAGCTATTGGAAACCGACGTCCAAACAGCACATATGCGAACTCCGTGACCATCCCAGCCGTGCAATAGTCCTGGAAAATACCCAGCCTATAACAACAAGCGCTACTTCATAGATGCTGTGGATGCACGCACAGCTGCCCTGTTGCCCGTGTGCAGCAATCTCCAGCTGATGCCCTTTCATAGATGTGGTGGATGCACGTCCAGCTGCTGCCCTTTCATAGATGTGGTGGATGCACGTCCAGCTGCTGCCCCTTCCCATGTGCTAACCCCCTATTCTCCCACCCCCCCTTCTTCCTCCCTGTATCCCCCATGTAGGCTTGAGATGACCCTTAGAAGCTTCTCGTGCCTTACGAAAGGAGAGAGCATCATGGTGGCATACAACAACAAGCGCTACTTCATAGACGTGGTAGATGCACGCCCAGCAGCAGCCATATCCATTATCGAGACCGATTGTGAAGTCGATTTTGCGCCGCCCCTCGATTATGTGGAGCCGGAACGAGTGCTTACACCCGTTAAAGCACCTGCTGCTGCTGCTTCTGCTGCTGCTGCTGCTGCTGGCGGCTCTGAAGCTGGAGGGAAGAAGGGCACTGGGAAGGACGGAAAATCAGGTATGTGGGAGGAATGAAACAGAGAGACAGAGAGGGCAGGCATGAGCAGGTGTGTATGGAATTAGCAGCAGCTTCTGTCGGTGCCGGTGCCGGCGGTTCTGAAGCTGGAGGGAAGAAGAGCGCTGGGAAAGGCGGAAAAGCAGGTGTGTGGAAGGAGAAAGAGTGGGTATGTGGATGCATGCCCAGCAGCAGCAGCAGCAGCTTCTGCCAGTGCTGCTGGTTGTGCCTCTGAAGCTGGAGGGAGGAAGAGCGCTGGGAAGGACGCCGAAGCAGGTATGTGGAAGGCGCGAGAGGGAGAGAGCGGGCCACGGGCATGGGGATGCTCGATTATGTCGAGCCCGAGCAATTCCCAACATCGGCAGGTGAAGGAGCTGTAGCTGGTAGTGCCATTTGAGTTGACTCAAAAGTCGCTCCGCCCCTCGATTGTGTCGAGCCCCAGCGATTCCCAACATCGGCAGGTGAAGGAGCAGTAGCTGGTAGTGCCTTTTGAGTTGACTCAAAAGTCGCTCCGCCCCTCGATTGTGTCGAGCCCCAGCGATTCCCAACATCGGCAGGTGAAGGAGCAGTAGCTGGTAGTGCCTTTTGAGTTGACTCAAAAGTCGCTCCGCCTCGATTGTGTCGAGCCCCAGCGATTCCCAACATCGGCAGGTGAAGGAGCAGTAGCTGGTAGTGCTGGTGCAGGTTCCAATTCTTGAGGTGCCTCAAAAGTAGGTTCTCACACCAAACAGATGCAAAGCAGCCCACCTTCACACCACTTGTTCCCCTCCTTACTTGGACCCCCCTTTCCCCCCCTTTCCCACACCCCGCCCATGCTTTTCTCTCATCTCAACCATTCAGACGGAGCACTTCCACTTAAGGAGCCCACCTTCATGCCGTTCCCCGTACCCCCCGGCCCGCCACACCCTCTGCCGCTCCCTTACGTATGCCCTCTCCCACACTCCCCTTGTTTCTCTCTTCTCAACCAATCAGAAGCAGCCCCCCCACCCGAGGAGCCCGCCTTCACGCCATTCGTCGGCACCGGCAGGCGATTGGACGGCCGCCCAGCAGCCTCCCCCTCCTCCCCTGCCACGTCAGCAGCTGCCACGTCAGCAGCATCAAGGGAGGGCGTATCTGGGGCAGGCGGGGCCGGTGGGGCTCGTAGCAGTGGTGGTGGCAGTGCCGGGAGTAGCAGTGCGGGTGGTGGTAGTGGTGCTGCTGGCGCAGGTGCTGCCGGTGCAGCGAGTGGGGGAAGGAAGGAGGGTCGGCTGGTGTTTGGGTCAGGAGACGGAGCTCCACGAGCGGGTCCCAAGGTACGTGGTTGAGTGCGGTGCGGTATGGTGTCAAGTGCTCTGTGAGTGTCGTGAAGTATGTGACATGCTTTATGGTGCAATAGGTGGTGTGGCACTTGGTGAGATTTGGTTGGTGGTGAATGTGTATGTGGGGATGCGTGCGTGCACATGGGTGCATGTGATATATACCATCCATGGATAAAATCTCTCATATCAATGTACCGTATATATGAATCGTGTCCTCTCTGCATGCAGGTGCCAAAGAAAAAGGAGGAGCCTCAGAAAGAAGAGCCACAAAAGCCGTCCTTTCAAGCCTTTTCTGGGAAGGGTTACTCGCTGCGCTGATGCTGCAACGTGTGATTCTTGTTAGCTGAGTCTGCCACGCAGGGTATTGTTTCCGTGTTAAGTGTGTTGGTGTGCTCGTTTCGTATAATTCTTCTTACACGTATCTTGGAGAAAAATAAATAACACTTAGCTCTGTGTATGATAATTTCTGAAATATGACTTTTTTTTTTCTGAATTTTGGCATCCGGAGATATCTTTTGCAGGTTGGCAAGTGTACGACCATACGAAAGGTTGGCTTCGTGTAGTTATTACGTCAGCATAGCGAACGATGCGTTAGACGCGGATAGTTGTGTCAAATCGATAAGCTCCTCTTTTTGCTCAGATCCATCGGGGTGAAATCGAAGTCATTCGTCAATCTTACGCCTGTAAACGATTCTCTTAGTACGGTCACATCTCTGCCGTTTATTTTCACTTCCTTCGCACTCCCAGATTTCTCCTCACTCAACAGTTCTAGACAACACTTCCAAGGCACGTCGTGTCGCCAAACGCTTTAGTCTCCTCCGAATCCGCTCTCGAATTCAAGAAAGGCCTCGAAGCCACTCCGTTCATCCCTACGATAATTTTCCTGCAGCTAAACGGCGTGTGGTTTTTCGCCACTCTCACATTATTTTTAACGAATGCGCTTCTGCTAATCCTACATTTGCGTATTTACTCCGAAGTGTATACCACCGAGTAGACGTATTTAGCTTCATACCGTCGTGATCCCTTGTTGGTTACCACCAGCTGGTTACATTTGGGTGTAGCCCATTTTCGCCGCGCAATCCGTTCGAGAGTCATTCAGAATGGCGGAATGGTGGGCGTGGGTATTGGTTGCGATCCCCGTTACAGTGGTTTCGTTTGAGATCCTCGCGTGGGCTTGCCGGCCAAAGCGAATCTCGTTAAAGGTGAGAGTGTGAAATATCGACTTAAGATCGCGTACAATGAGTCACCTTTTTGTCACATTCCCGAAAGATTCATTCCCTTTTCCGCGATATGGCTTTAACGGCATAGGATTGCCATTCGAGCAGTGGCAGTGCAGCAGCTTCAATGGAGTGACTTTTGAGTCGACTCACGAGAAGTGGCAGCATAGGGATTAGTCTCCTCGTTTTAGCGGCATCGGATTGCCATTCGAGCAGTGGCAGTGCAGCAGCTTTTGATAACCCTCGATAGTGCAGAGGGAAGTGGCAGTGACGCCAGGAGTTCCCCGTTTTAAGACGTCTCAAAACTGCACTTATATCACTTGATTGTCATAGGAGCAGTGCCACTGCCAGTGGCAGTGCAGCAGCTTTTGATAACCCTCGAAAGTGCAGAGGGAAGTGCCACTTGGCAGTGACGCCAGAAGTTCCCCTTTTGTCCCTCGTTGGTTCTCCTTCCGCGTTCCTTCCCACACGGCTCACCTGCCCACAGGGCAAGGCCGTGCTGATATTGGGGGATTCTAGCGGCATTGGGCTGTGCAGTGGTGACAATAGGCTCCTCTGCTTTTCTGCCGCTCTTCCCCTCCCTCCACTTTCCTTCTCTCCTGCTCCCTCCCAAACCACCCCAGGGAAAGGCTGTGCTGATAGTGGGTGGCTCGAGCGGCATAGGGTTGTGCATGGGGGAATTGGCAGTGCAGCAGGGGGCGAGGGTGGCAATTGTTGCTCGCAATAAAGACAGATTGGCCTCAGCACACAAGCAGGTGAGTGTTTTCCTCGGAATATGGGTGTTTTAGTGAAGGTGTGCTTGTAGTGTTAGCTTGGGTTGTGCATGGGGAACAATGCAAGACAGCAGGGAGCGAGTGTGGCGATCGTTGCTCGCAACAAGGAGCGACTGGCCTCAGCACACAAGCTGGTGAGTGTTTTCAGTCAGGGTGTGTGTGTGTAGTGTAAGCTTGGGTTGTGCTGAAGGGATTGATGGCAGTGCAGCAGGGGAGCAAGAGTGGCAATTGTTGCTCGCAACAAGGAACAAACGACTGGCCTCCGTTCGCAAGCAGCTGTGTGCCTTTAGCCGTGTCCAGGCGTGCTTGCAAGCATGGATGCATGTCAGGGGTGCGATGCATAGGGGGAACAATGGCAGGGAAGCAGGGAGCGAGAGTGGCAATCGTTGCTCCCTGTGTCAAGGCATGCGCTCTCACTCGTTTACTCTCCCCCCCATCCATACCAGCTGGAGGCCTTGCTTCCAGCCAACCCTTCATACCTCAAATCGTTGAATCCTGAATCCTAAATCTCTCGTGTGTTCCTTTCCATTCTTCTCTACCCCTTTCCCTCTACCATTCGAGCTGCTTCTCTACCAGCTGGAGCCCTTGCTTCCAGCTGACTCTCCCTCAACCAAACTGATAAATTCTAAACTCTGATGTATGACTTCTCGTTCTCCTCTCTGTCTTTCCCTCCTCTCGTCTTGCTCCAGCTAGAAGCCTTACTTCCACCCGACACTCCCTCGTCCGATTTCCTCCTGTCTGTGGCGGCCGATGCGGCGAACCCGGACGATGCGACGAGAGCCGTTGATCAAGTGGTGGCCGCGTTTGGACGGCTGGATGTGGTGATCTGCTGCCAGGGGCAGAGCACCCCGCATCAATTTGAATTCGATACCTTGGAGAACCAGCAGCAGGTGTGTGCGAGGACTCAGCACAGCAGCAGGTAAGGAGGAGCGGCTGATAAGTGTGCGTACGGAACGGCCACTACTGAGGCGAGTTTTGAGGCGGGTTGTAACTCGCCTCAATAAGTGTGTGCGTGTACGGAACATTGGGCGTCAGTCTGTTTCATCTGAGCGGTCCTGGTTCCCGCTGCGCTGCTCCTTGTATTCCCCTCCCCTCCCTCAGTGCACCCCCTCACGCCCCTCATACTCCCCCCACCCCTCGTCCAACCCATCAGCCCATGAATGTCAAGTACTGGGCGTCAGTGTATGTCATCCGAGCAGAGCAGAGCAGCCCTGCTTGCCCTGGTGCTTTGTCTTATTATTCTCCACAATTTAATGCAATACCCCCACCCTTTCCTCCCTCCCCCTTTCCATCAGCTCATGAACGTCAACTACTGGGCGTCAGTGTATGTAATCCCAGCAGCATTGCCTCTTCCCCACCCCTCCCTCAACGCAGCCCCCTCCCTCATCTTCTCCCTGCCCTCCTCTCCCCACCTCCCCCATCAGCTCATGAACGTCAACTACTGGGCGTCAGTCTATGTGATTCGAGCAGCCCTGCCAGCCGTGAAAAGAGCGGGCAAGGAGGGGCGCATAATGCTGGTGTCGTCTCAAGCAGGGCAGGTGAGGGTGAGAGTGTAATGGGAGGGCTGTACTGTACTGGTGGCACGAGCAGAATGGGAGAGGCATTCAGCAGCAGCACTGAATGGGCTGTGTGATTCGAGCAGCCCTGCCTGCAGTCAAGGGAGTGGGGAGTGGGCAAAGAGGGAAGGATAACACTGGTGTCATCACAAGCAGGGCAGGTGAGAGGGGTAAGAGGAGTAAGAGGAGAGCGAGGGTAAGACCACGGTAAGAGGAGGGTTAAGGGCTCAAGGATTAGGCCCTGCTGGCAGTGAAAAGAGCAGGGCAGTTGAGAAGGGGTATTGGGAGGGCAGGTGAGTGATGTGGTAGTGGGAGCGGCAGCCTTGAGTGATTCATTTCATCATTCATGCGCGCTAGTTGACACTTTGTTTTGTGCTCTGTCTTACAGACAGAATCGGCCAACTATCACTAGTTCTATGAAAGCACCATAAAGAGAGCACAGGAGGGAAAGATCTATAAGTGCAGAATCTTAGTTTGAAAAAGAACGTGCATGGCTCCCCACTCCCTTGTTCATCCTCTCCCCTCTTCCACGAGGACATATGCGGGTACACGGCTCACTCAGTTGCCAACTTCGAGTTGTGAGGCCACTCAGAAGTCCCTTGTGCACCTGCCCCACTCCCGTGTTCGTCCTCTCCCCTGTAGAGACGTCTCAAAACTCAGTTGTGAGGCCACTCAAAAGTCCCTTGTGCAGCTGCCCCACTCCCTTGTTTGTCCCTCTCCCTTTCCAAGTGGGTGTATACGGCTACATGGCCTGCTCCTGAGGTTACTCAGAACCACCGGACTCCCTGGTTCCTCTCCCGGTGGGTTCATATGGCTACACGGCTTACTCAGCTGCCAGATTCGCCCTGAGGGAGCTGGCAGAGGCGCTGTGGATGGAGCTGTTGTGTGTATGTGGGTACAGTTTTGAGACGTCTCAAAACTGGGTATAAACATTGAGACGTCTCAAAAACAACCTCGCTACACCTGGGTATAAACATTGTGTTTTTTGAAAATTCTCAAAGAACAGATTCAGGGTACAAACATGTGATGCTGCCTCGTTCCATTGTTCCTCCCCTTCCCTTCCCGTGTACACAGATTCAGAGTAACTTGCAGTCAAACTTACTCAGTCGACAAGTTTGACTCCTCCTGAGCCAACTTAGAGTACCCCCCCTCTTCTCCCATGCTCCCCCTTTCCCCTTCCAGGTGGATATATACGGCTGCAACGCTAACTCAGTCGCCAAATCCCGAGCTGTGAGGTTATTGAGAAGTCCCTTGTTTACTTGCCCCACTCCCTCTTTCTCTCCTCCCTTCAGATTGGTATCTATGGCTATACAGCCTACTCGGCCGCCAAATTCGCTCTAAGAGGCCTGGCAGAGGCACTACAAATGGAGCTGGAGCACATGGGGACGAGGGTGGTGATGCTGTTCCCTCCTGACACTGACACGCCTCAATTGCAGCAAGGTGAGGGGCAGGAGCAAGGTACACTTGCCTTCAGAGCGACATGAATGCACTGGCAGAGGCACTTCAAGCGGAGCTGGTGCGTGTGGGGACGCGGGTGGTGATGCTGTTCCCTCCTGACACTGACACGCCTCAGTTGCAACAAGGTGAGTGAGGGTCTGTCGCTGGTGGACTAGGGGCACTGGCAGAAGCACTTCAGATGGAGATGGTGCATGTGGGCACACGCATTGTGATGCTGTTTCCTCCCGACACCGACACCGACACCGACACGCCTGAGCTACTCTTTCCTTCAGAGGGTCATGAGGTGAGGGATCTAGTAGAGGCGCTGCAGATGGAGCTGGTGCACGTGGGCACATGCGTTGTGTTGCTGTTCCCTCCTGACACCGACACGCCTCAGCTGCAGCAAGGTGAGAGGCAGGTCGCCAATTCCATCACATCACAGCGGGCAGGCAGCAACAAGCCCTTCCCTCCCTTGACGCATAGAAAAATAGTTTCGACCCAGATCCACAGCTCTAGCTCGTTCTAATCTCCTCTAGGCTGAGCTTAGGCTAGTAGGGATTGAGTAAGCAAGGAAAAATGTCATTCCAAGACCGAGCGTGCGCACGTTTCGGCCGATGGCCTTCGTCAGCGCTCTCAGATTTACAAGAAAATACTACTCCTTATCTACTCCCATCTACCGTGCCCAGCACTCAACCAAGAAACAAAAGTCCAGTGCGGCTCGTCTTGCGGCTCGTTAGCTGGCTGTACAATGCATTTGCAATGCAATTCAACGTGCAGGTTGGTGGGATGAATTCAATCCCATCAACTCACGGGGTGGTGCATCCCCGTTCTTGAAATCTCGCTTTCACAAAGAGGTTGCGTAACCTCTTTGGCAAACGTCAACACACTAAAAACCGTGGGAGGAAGATATGATGCAGCGTATGTTTTTTGAGAATTCTCATAAACCCCCCAGCCCCAAGTCCAAAGTCCTTGGACATCTTCTTACCTTCAGGGACTGGAGGACTTCCCTCACTTAGTGTTGTTGGCAGTTGCGAAGCAGAATCGGCCTGTCTTGATGTTTGACGCTGTTGAAGATAGGCCTGAGAAAGTAATCAGGGTACCCTCTGGCCTTTAGCCTATTAAAGAAGAGGACTTTTCTCTCCCAAAAGGTCTTGAATGATGAGTTCCGCAGACAGTGGCGTTTCAGCTCACTGGTGATAAATCCTCTGTTGCATTCTTCTTTAAGAGGCTAAAGGCCAGAGGGTACCCTGATTACTTTCTCAGGCATATCTTCAACAGCGTCAAACATTAATTCCATCACATCACAGCGGGCGGGCAGCAACAAGCCCTTCCCTCCCTTGACAGCCACCACCATGATGGGAGCTGCAACTCCCCGTGGTCCCCCATTCTGTTCCCATCTTACTCCCCACTTCCCACCCACCCCACCTTCCCAACCCTAACACCCTCCAGAGAACGCAACCAAGCCAGCAGTCACCAAGGCCATCACGGAAGGCAACAAGCCCTTCCCTCCCATGGCGGTCGCAAAAGCTGCGATCTCGGCCATCGAACAGGGAGATTTCCTTGCTCCTGTCGGATTCGACGGCTGGATGCTCAGCATCGCCACTGCAGGTGAGTGATCTAGCTGCAGCTCTTGTGGAATCTTTGTGTTCTTCTGCACCCATCCCCCTTCCCCCCCTCCTCCCTCCCCTCCTCGGTACCCTCCGCCCGTACCTTTCCCAACCCTTCCTCTCCATCCTCCTTATAGGCATGATTTTCTGTGCTTCACTCAGCAAAATATAGGTTACCTCCACTTCCTCCTCACCTCCCTCCCCGTCTCTGCCACCCAACCCCCCCCCCCCCCGCTTTCCTCCTCCCTATCCTCGTTTTAGGCATGTCGCCCTGTGTGTCGCTCAACAAACTCTTATTGGAGCTGCTCTTAGCGGGGCCAATGAGGCTAGTGGCAGCAGCAACAGTGGCGGGCTTTAATGCGAGTGCGAGGCGGTGGCATAGAATCAATCATGGCAGAGGAACGTGAGTATTCTCTCCCATGAGTAGTTTTTTTTTTTTTTTTTGGCAGGGGTACTTAGGTATCCCCGTGGCCCCCTTTTTCTGATCCCTTCACAAGCTTTCCCTGCCTGTTAAACTGCTAGCTCTGTGGCACAAGGGGGGTATGTGTTTGCTAGCGAGAGATTCATGCGTTTGCGAAAGTTAGCATCTCCAAAGTAGAAGCCAAGACTGGCATGTTTTGTTGTTGCTTTGAACCCCCTTTTTTCTTTCCTTAGCAAAATGCTGGGCAGTGAGCATGAGCACCTAACTAACACTGAGTCACCTGTTGGGGAGACGTACAATTATGTTGGCCTCATGAGGCATTCAAGGAAATGTTTGCAATGCCTCATTGCATTTTTTTTCTTCGTTGCTCGTGCTTCCTATATACATTTATGACACCATGGCAGGCATGAAGATCACAAGAAAGCATTGTAGTATTGATTCGTGAAGAACTGTATGCTGCTCTCAACTTTAGTTGTAAAGCTGCACTAATCACTGTGTGGCTGGCGACGTGACATCGAGCCTTTTCCCGAATAAGACGCATCATTTCGTGAATATTTATGTAACACGTTGCCAACTGCATAAGGGGCTTTGATTGGGCGCAGCTGTTTTCGTGGAGCTCAAACCGATGAACGCGCATCTCGCACACAGAACCTTGCCCTCCTGCCAGCAGCCGCCACAAGCGTGAAACAGCAGCAACTGATTGGTTGACTGCTGTCTCCATAGCGGCACCGCGTACGCAAAGGGCAACCAAGCCCAAGAATTTGTGGCTCAGAAAGCGCAGGCGTGCCCAACAAAACTCCCCAACCAGTCAACTCAGCTGTTTGGCTCGCCGCGGAACAACCGAGGGGCAAAGCTCCCCCGAACCTCAGGTTTGGAATTCGGAGAAGTCGCAGTTCTTGGTGGCAGCAAATCAGCCTGCCTGCAGTTTTCATGGAGGGACTCGCGGTTGCTCCCCATGTCGTTCCCCGACCACCACCACTACCCCCAATCTGAGGTCAGATTCACGCCTCGATTCTTCATTCCCCCCACATTTTCAGCGAGGGTCAGCTTCGCATTGGAGTTTCCCTTCGAAAACTCCATCCAGGGCAGGATGAACTCTGGTACAGAATTTGCTGGGGTATTACTAGTAGTTTATCTTCGGTTCTAGCCTAGTCAGATATGATCCCACAGAACTCTCACGGATTTCGCGGTTGGTTGAGTGTATTCGTGCCTCTAAACGTCATGAAGCAAAACCCGAAATGTCAGTGTAGTCTAAACAGCGACAAAATCAAGTTCATGGGGTAACCCTGCACACCAAGCGACTTTTCGGTTCTCCAGTAGGTATTCTCCAATGCGACTTTCCATCCACTCCCTATCCATTTGTTTTTCCCCATCCACTCCCTCGCCCATCCTTACCAGCCGCTCTCTGTCCATGCCGCTGTTCGGCACTTCCAAGAGACACTCTCAACAGTTGAACCATTTCGCTGAGGTAGGAGCTAAGAGTCGCAACCCGACTTTGTGCTATGCAGTGAAGAGCTTACAATAGACGACTAAGAACGCAGAACGTAGCACTAGGGAGGGAGCTTCCCCTGCTGTGCATCCGGCCCAGGAAACGAATTCTGTAATAAGACCAACATTCATAGTATTCAGTAATTTGCTTGAAAGCGTGTCAGCGGAATTCGCACACGTTTGCATTGCGACAATCTTTCTGCGTTTTCCCCTCCGTCGATTTTTTTCGGTAGCATCCGTCTCTCCTTGCAGTCACGTGCCGCCGTTACGAACCAATTATAAATCCTTCGATTGAACATAACCGAACATAAGTATCTTCCGTTGAGCATAAGTTTCTTCCGTTAAGACGCGTAGCCATCATGGCATGCGGCGTTCATCTTCCACCGTCGCGAATGGCTCCCGCGACAACAACAATGACACCACCTGTCGCAGCATCTCCCCCATCATTTCAACCGCCTCGCTCCAAAACCTCTCTTCAAGAACGTCATGAAGTTGTCGCTGCCCGCGGTTCGGTTTCTAAGAGGCATACTTATTCCTCGACACAAGATTGCCTCTCGGCACAAGCTCGCAGCTCTCGCAAATTTCACGTCGAGTCTTCCCGCCGAATCGCTTTGAGCGACGCCAGACATTCGTATGCCAAGCTCGGCGCGCTACGCCTGCGGGCTCAAGGTCCCACCGCCGCCGCCGCCGCCGCCGGCGCTGGCGCTGCGGGAGCGGCCGATTTTTCCGAGGTGCGTTTCTGTCTGCTGCGTCGCCTATCCAGGGGCAGTTGACTCGTATACTCCCATGAATTGGTACTAATTCTGGAGTTTACCCTGTCCCCGCGCCCCTTGCTGCCGAGTTTTCCACTTCTTATGGTTCTCAATAAGCATTCTCACTTCTTCGCATCTCCCTAACTCTACGTTCCCCTCCCTCGCCTTCCTCATCTTCCTACAACCTCCTCCCCGCTCTCCCGTTTCCCCCCTCCCGACTTCTCCCCCTCCGTCGCGCGGCTTCTTTTCCACACCATTCCCCCCTCCCCCCCTCTTTCCCACCCACCCGACCCACTCTCTTCCGCATCGCCGCCCTCCTGCCCTCCGCTCGTGTGCGCGCGCTTCGACAGTTCGCCGCGGCCATTCCGCAACCGGTGCCGCCAGAAGCGGAGAAGAAGCAGCCAATCAGCGACCGTGTGTGGCCCGCCGTCGGTGAGTGGGGCTGCGCTGGTGTCTGTCCACTGGGATTGGGAATGGGGTGAGATGGGGTGGGATGGGGGTGGGGTGAGTTGGGGTGGGGTGGGGTCGGTTGGGTTGGGTTGGGTTGGGTTGGGTTGGGTTGGGTTGGGTTGGGCTGGGTGGCTAGTCCACCACCCCGTCCCACCTCCATTCCATTACGCCCCCTCCCATCCCAACCCTTGTCCACCCATCCCAGCCCATCCCATCCCCCGTCCCTCCCTCCTTCCTTCTCTCTTCCGTATTCCTTCCCATCTCACTGCAACGCACCCCACTCCTCCCTCGCCCGTCTCATACCTCTGGACCCCTTCGTTTCCTTGGCGAGGCTCGCCTTAGCGATTCTTATAACACTCCAAGAGCCTCCGTCTTCCCTGTTTCTGCGTTTCTTTTCCTCCTCGTCTTCCCCCTTGCTTCCCGTTTCATCTGATTTCATTACATCTCATCGAATCCCCCTCTTATTCCTTCTCCCCCACTCTTACCCCTTCTTTCCTCCTTCCTTCCCCCTTCCTGCCTCCTCGTTCCTCCTCAAACCACCAGGCGCATTTGTGTCATTCGCGGGGTTCGCGTTAGCAGACCATCTGTTACAGTCACACGGCCTCACAGTCTCCCTCGGCTCCTTCGGTGCTGTCTGCTGCCTCCTCTTCGCCAGCCCGCAAGCAGCCGTCTCGCAGGTGAGCACCCCCATTTCTCAGGTTATTTTTCAGGTCTTTTCTTCTTGTCTGCTGCCTCCTCTTCGCCAGCCCGCAAGCAGCCGTCTCCCAGGTGAATGCACTGCTTATGCTTCAGGGGAATCAGGTTATTCTTCAGGTGTTTCCACTATGTCTGCTGCCTCCTCATCGCCCTGCCACATGCAGCCGTGCTCAGCTCCTCGTTCAAGTAATTCAGGTTATTATTCAGGTGTTTTCACTCTGTCTGCTGTCACCTCTCTGCCCTGCCGCTCTACAGCGCAAGACCATCCTTTGAGACCCCACTCTCCTCCCTCCCCATTGCTCCCATTCTCATTGCCCAACTGGGAACAACGCTCATAGTAGTGTCGCTCGTTTGCCTGCTAGGACCATCATGGCATGCCAAGGCCACAGAAGCTTCTGTCTTCCCATCCAACCAGCCCCCTGGCGCATCCAATGAATTCCATTCATCTTCCCTCCCCCACCCCCCCTTTTCCCTATTCCCCACAGCACAAGACCATCCTGATAGCCCACGTGGGAACGGCCCTGATAGGAGTGGCGCACTTCTGCCTGCTGGGTCCTTCTGCCTTCTCATTCCCTCCCTCCCCTCCTACTCTCCTCTTCCTCCCCCATTGCTCCCCTCCTCAGCGCAACACCATTCTCATCGCCCACGTGGGAACGGCCCTCGTAGGAGTGGCGCTCTTCTGCCTGCTGGGGCCGTCTACTCTTCTCCTTCCATCCATACCCCCTCGAAATCACCTCTCCATCTCCACCCCTCCCTCCCTGCCCCCACAGTGCAACACCATTCTCATCGCCCACGTGGGAATGGCGCTCATAGGGGTGGCGCTTCTTCCTGCTAGGGCCATCACCCTTCTCCTTCTCTCCATTTTTTCTCCATTTTCCCTTGCTCTCCCCCCACAGCACAAGACCATTCTTATTTCCCACGTGCGAACAGCGCTCATAGGAATGGCGCTCTTCTGCCTGCTGGAGCCGTCTGTCACTGCTGCTGACAACCCCTCCTCCACACTCTCCTTTATCCTCCACTCTCCTCCCCTCCACAGCGCAAGACTATCCTGATAGCCCACGTGGGAACGGCGCTCATAGGAGTGGCGCTCTTCTGCTTGCTGGGGCCGTCTTGGCTTGCTAAAGCCACAGCAGTTGCTGCGTCTATTGCTTTCATGCAATTCACCAACTCCGTCCACCCCCCTGGTGTGTGATAAGCATGCCTCAGTACTCGCTATTGTGTGCTTAGTATCGGTTGGCTCCCTAAGGCCACAGCCGTTGCTGCCTCTATTGCTTTCATGCAGTGCACCTTGAGTCCACTTCCAGCTTTGTTGGAGTTGCTTCTGAGAATTCTTGAGCCCACTTCCAGTGCAGCTTGTGCATCTTTGGGAGCCCCTCTTGTCTGACAAGACATTTCCCATCTTCTTGAGCTCAGCAGCCGTCGATTGTCTCCCTCTTATATCCTCACTGCAACCAAGCTTCGCTCTACCAAGTGCTGATTCCTGCTCTTTCATGGCCTTGCCCCACTCCACGTTAACACCTCAACTGCCTTGTATTCCCATATCCCGCTCCATTCTTTGCCCTGTATCCCCTTAAACCCCCCTCCCTCCCCATTCTTTGCCCTGTATCCCCTCCCCCCCCACCTTCTCTCCCCTTCCCCTCCTCTCCCCTTCCCCTCCTCTCCCCTTACCCCCCTCTCCCCTCCCCCCCCCCCCCCCCCCCACCCCAATTCTTTGCCCTGTATCCCTTAACCCCCCCACCCCTCCAATTCTTTGCCCTTGTATCCCTTACACAGCTGCCGGCCTCCCGCTTATTTTCCTCGACGCCCCCAAGTTTCATCGCCTCAAATGGTGGTACCCACTCTTCCCAGGCCTTGTGGGCTGCCTCTGGCTCTTCCTCGTGGTAAGTTGATCGTTTCATGTGCTCGATTTCAAGAGCCCAAAAGCCTTTCCTTTCAACGATGATGTTTGTTTTTCAGTTGCTAGAAATGCTGTATAGAAGGGAAATGCTAGAGATGCTGTATAGAAATGCTGTAAGTGTATTGTGCGCTGATTCACACTTGCCTTGCCTATTGATGTTCGTGCAGCAAGAAGGGATCCTTTTCTTGAAAGAGAAGGTGGTATTCTGATGAAGTGGTTCCAAATCTTGACATATAGAATGTATGATATTCCTTGTAATATGAGTAATGATCAATTTGTCCAGTTCACGAAGGTTGGAACCATCTGCCTTGTGCTATGTATACCCATCAGCATACATATATCCATTACAAAATTGCGCAGAGTGTTTCACTATGCTTGTTCGATAGCTGATCATGTACTGGCTGTGATTTGATCAATCCAAATTCAGGCAGAAAAGGACAAAAATGACACGTAGGTGGATCCCATATCCAGCACAACAGTTACCTCTCTATCCAGGTGGCACGCGTTCAGCCACCGACACATCTTCTCCAGAACAGCGCACACGGTTATATCAGAGGAGGTGGTGGGGGTGAACATGTCGAAGTGCACATTTGCGCCTTCCATTCGGACCGCACATTTTGCGTTCGCGAAGGACATCCTCCACGTGTTGTAAGATTTGGTTGCTGCTCCTGAAAATCCCACCTGTTCCCATCCCTTCCATCCGCGAGCAACAAGCTCCAGCCAACGCAAACTCGCGACAGTGGAATTATCATCAAGCTCGCACAGCTCGTCGAGCACAGCTTCAGAGAAAGCTCATCAGGAGAGGAGGGTGATGGCCAGCCCTTCAAATGCGCAATTGTTATTTGTGATCCAATAGTAGCATTCCACTCGCAATCTTGGCAAGCTTTTCTCGGAGACCTAGTTTTCCAGCAGGTTCTTGACGAACTTCAGCTCCATTCCGAGGTCGTAAAGCTTCAATATGATATCCTTTCCCGTCAGCGCACCCGTTCCCGTCAACGCTCGCCGTGCTAATCCAGGCGCCGCTGCTGTCATCGCGGCCTCACTCGCACGAGCCGTGGAGCAACCAGCGACTTCAGCCTCAAGTTGTACTACTACTGGGAGTGGGACTTACGTCGACCGCCGATGTACCGACTACATCGTCGTGGGCGGCAGAGTCGAAGTCTATTTGGAGCGCTTTGAGGACATTTTTGGCGCTGCGGGCGCAAGCATTGAAGAAACTCGCGCGAGCGTTCTTGGCTGCAGATTTGGCTCCCGGCGACGGCGTCGGGTTACCTGTTTCGCTCGAGACGATGCGCACCGGCGTGATCATCACGATGATGATGACGCAATTGATGCAGCATGCGTATCCGACGTGTCCTCGTCTGAAAAACGTGAGCCTGTCGGCTTGATCGCTACTTGTTATTACCAGCAGCATGCAGCGATGCGACTCCAGGTCCTAGGAGCACACAATGGGACCCCCTTACGGAGTTAACGTGAGGGATATGGCGGTAGTGAAGTTTCATGCGCCAAATATCCAAGTCCAAAGCAGGGAAATCAGCTCGTTCCAGTGTTATCGCTTTAGGGTTTTGCTCATAAATGTTCATTGATTCAAATGCGGATAAAATCAATCCCTTTTCATCACAATGTACTGTTGCATGAATTGCTTCTTCCGACTGATTCGAACTTACAAGTCCAGAAACAGAAATCAACGAAAACATTATGGGAGCATGTATGTATTTTTAGTTTGTTACATACACGCCAGAAATTAGATGTATGCTGTACACTTGTTTTTGCAGAAACCTGCTGTAAGTTGTACGGGAAACAATAGCGGGGATTCTGGATGGCAGTTCCTCCGATAGTGATTGGTCTCGCACACCACCCGTCCTCTTCAAACTTCTCCGCCACCATCGAGAGAAACGAGGAGGATGAGATTCCGCCGCACACACCACCCCAATCATCAACTGTGTTGTTGTGGAGGACGTCACATGAGTTTCAACAGCGGCCGTATGAGCTGTTCTGATGGAGCCTTTCACGTGCCCTACGTTGCATCCTGTGTCAACCCTGGCAACAGTCAGTGTGTGATCGAGTCCGCTCGAAAGCAATGGGGGGTCGTGTCAATTTCCAGGTCAAAGAAGTCTACAGTGTGTTACAGATGCCACGCAAACACCCCGAGGCTTTACATCATTTTTCTACACCAGAATCATCAATCATCAGCAGATGATTCTGCGTGTTGTTCACCCTTGAAATTCATGGTCAGTGCTGATTGGGCGGGAGGAACGATATTTTTACCCGCGAGCTTTCCCAAACAACCTCTGATGGGCCTCTTGCTCCCCGTGGACATGATTTTCGCGAATCAAACTTGAATCTCCGCCCTCGCTGCTAATCACCGCCTGCTCCACCACAGTCGGTCTGCCCAGCTATCACCGCCTGTTTCAAGATTGCCATCACCACCCGCCAGACTTACGCGCTTCATGAAGCCCTGCGCGCTTCTCACTGCTCCCCGCTCTGCTCTCCGCCCTCTCGTGTTGTTCACCCTTCCCCCTCGCAGAAGAATTGCCTTCAAACGCCTCACTCATCGCTCGCCACTCAGACTGCATAAAAGGTTCGCTCCAATGGCTTATGTGTCGTACCCGTAGTTGCCATTTCTGTATTACATCCATTCCCCGATTCGAAGCCATCGACTTCAGCTACTTTCTGCGCTTTTCCAGAACATCAAAATTATCGACGAGCCCTTCGATCGAACCTTTCGTAAGCCGAGGCTCAAGTAGGCTACTTTCGAATTCTAATTTGTTTTTCTAGAATGGAATCCACGGCCTCTCTGGCTTTCGTTCGCGCCTGCATGCCTCGTTCGCCCATTGCCGCCACATGCGGGATGGCCTCTACTTCGGCCACGTCAGCTTCGAATCCCACACCGACGGTGCACGGAGCTGTCGCCGTGTACATTGACGACTTAGAGCGTCGCTCCAGCGCGCACTCGCCAGATGACGTGGAGCTGACACGTACACGCGTTCTCGGCTGTCGACACGGGTCCGTGCGTCGATCTCGCCTGGCGGCGTTTGATGAAGATGAAGACGCTTCAATCTCCAGTGCCTGTGGAATGTCTGTCCATCGTCAAGAAATCCTTGGAACTCGCAACGGCACACCTAAGCGTGTAACGACGACGACAACGAGGCTTAATATCGAAGAGAACACTGAGTTCGCTCCCCTTCGGAAGACTGTGTCGCTCTAAATGCAGCATATCTTGTCTCAAAAGGCTTTTACCGTAGTTTTTTTGTATTTGCTTCTGTTCCCACTGACAAATGCGCTGACATTCATCGGTGCCTTTGTTTATCATAATATTTAAGGGTTTGTATATAGGCAGAAGTATGTCCCCGAATGAAAACAATATTTCTTGCCTTCGTGCAGAAGTCAAGTACATGCCCCAGCAGTAACAGGAGCACCACATGACAGGAAATGAGATTTCTACAGACGCTCCACTTAATGCTTGAGATGGACTTTGATGTCAACGAGACCTACACCTCTGCACACAACACCTCTGGTGGTGACAAGGCGCAAGGGCCTTGGTGAAGATGTCTGCAGTGTTGGCCTCGAACTCCACAAAGTCGAAGCGAAGCGAGTCTGTCCACGCCTCTGCAACTCTCGCATAAGAAAGTACCTGACATTGATGTGCTTCACTCTGCTCTCCAGTCGCGGCTCCCGACAGCGGAGATTCGACGCCTTGTTGTCAGTGAACAAGGCTGGTGCAGAGCTCGGCCGCTCACCAAGGTCGGTGAGCAAGAAAGTCAACCAACGCAGCTCCTGTGCAGCCATGGCTCCAGCGTAGATCTCAGCCTCAGCGGTAGAGGTCGAGACCGAGGAGGAACGCGTGGACCTCCACGAAACAGCTCCAGAGCCCAGGCTGAAGCAGTACCCCTGAGTAGACCTCTGAGTCTCGGCGTCGTCAGCGTAAGAAGATTCACTGTGTCCAGTAAGTACGACAGACTGTCTCCCTCCAAGAACCAACCCCACACCTGATGTCGTCGCTAAATACTTCGCCACCCTCACAGCAGCTGTCCAGTGAACTGGACGGTATCTCCCTGATGCAACAAAGCGAGCAAGGATGCTGAGAGGGAAGGCGAGGTCCGGGCGAGTACAAGTCATCACGTACAAGAGGCAACCCACAAACTCTGCGTAGGGACCACTAGGCTCAAACGGCTCGTCAGGAAAGGGTCCAGTGAGTCTGTGGTCAACAGCAAGAGGTGTGCGCTGTACTGTGGAGTGCTGAAACTCGAACCGCTGAAGGACCTGCTGCACCATGTGTGACTGTGAGAGTGTGATGGTGCGAGCGGCTCTGTCCCTGGTGATCTGCAGGCCAAGTTAGTGGCACAGCTCACCAAGGTCAGTGCACGTGTGTCTTTTCTGCAGTTCGCGCTTCACGTCAGCCAAAGCAACCCTGTTAGCAGTGGCGAAAACCATGTCGTCGACGTAGACCAGTACTAACTACGGTGTGGAGCCACGACAAACAAATAGCGACGGGTCGGCAGAAGACGGTTGGAAACCGAGATCAGACAGGGTAGAACGAAGGGTGTCGCGCCACTCACGAGGAGCCTGGCGGAGACTGTAGACTGGTCGCTTCAACCTCCATTGGGTCCCATGAGGGAAAGTGCCAGTGAAGGCAAAGTGACGACGCAACCAGATCTCATCGTGTAGGCTACCCTGAAGGAAGGCAGTGGAGAAGTCGAGAAAGTGTAGCTCGTAGTCTCTCTGTGCTGTTACGTGCAGTAACACCCGAAGAGTGATCATCTTCGGGGTAGGCGCGAAGGTCTGAAAGAAGTCAACTCTCTCGCGCTGACTGAAACCTCTAGCCACACAGCACGCCTTGAAGACCGGAGGAGATCCCGGTGGCCGCTTCACCCTAAAGATCCACATGCCATCAACTACGTTCGCCCCAGGGGGGGGAACCTCGTCGACGCAGGTGTGTGTGGATCTGTAGGAGGCCATCTCTGAGTCCATGGCAGCTCTCCAGTGAGAGGCCCAAGGCCCTGACACTACCTCAGCATAAGTGTGAGGAGTAGGTATGTCAAGGGCGTCGGGGTCTCCCTTAAGGGCGAGCAGCATGGCATAGAGATGAGGGGAAGCGACTGCCATGAACTCTAGCTCAAACTGTCTGTCCTCTAGGGCGTCTCAGCCAAGGGCAGACTCACCTCCGACGGCCAGAGGACTGGTAAGAGGAGCAGGCACAAGACTAGTG